CTAATGTCGCCACAACCGTGGGGCTGAGAACCTTCTAACATTTAGAAGATTCGTCGGACATCGGCTGGCTGGACCAAGGGAAGCAGCACTCCTTGTGTTTCGGTGGTGTGTGCGTAGTCAGAACTGAAAGAAGGCGGAAGACGTGCACGGAAACTTGTCCTCAGCAGGCGGGAACTGCTGAGTGAGCTGACTACGAACTCCAGATTGGGTAATTATTTTAAAGACTTTGTAACATTATAAGTAGGGTACAATGGGGACTCAAATATCTTCTGAACAAAACCACATTGATTTAATTTTAAAACGCGAGCTTAAGCAGCATAGCGCGAAAATTGACGAACAGCCCTTGCAGAACCTGTTGCTGTGGGCCCAGCGTCACATGTCAGAACTGAACGTTACCGACCTTCTTGATATGTGCTTGTGGGACTCGGCAACCGCCCGAAAAAACCTCAGCAGTCGCTGCCCGGGACGGGCCCCAGCCCCTGAGCGGAGCGCACAAGCACACTGCAGCCCGACACACGCTGCCCGGAGAGAGCCGTGGCAGACAGAACCACGGCCACCGCCGCTGCAGCCACCCTGGGCAGGGGCGGGGTGGGAGCCAGCGCCAGCGAACTGCCGCGCTGCCTCGGCAAGTTCCTGGATCGCCGCCCGCTACCGCTCTCAGCAGCAGCAGCCAAGCAGCGGCCAGAGGCGCGAGGTCAACACCTCAGGGAGCAGGTCCCTGAGGAAGGACCACCACCTCCGGCGCCCCAGCAAACAACGAGATCGAGAGACCCGCGCCGGCGGAAGCAGCAGCGGGACCCGAGCGGGAACCACTCCGAAGGCAGGAAGGACCCGGAACCCGGAAACGAAAGAGGCACCGGGAAAAACAAACCCAAGCAGAGCACAAGGTCTGCAAAAACCGGGGCTATGGAGCGTGAGCGGAGAAGAGGATCCCACAGAATCCCTGGGGAGCTCCGGGAAAGGTCCGAGGGAGGAAAGAGCCCAAGCGGGACCGTCGGCGAAGGAGGGAGCGAGCGGAAGCCCAGCGGCAACAGCACGAGAGAAACCCAGGAACAGAGGGACCCCAGAGACAAACGGAGTGGTGCAGACACAAAGCTGCCGACTTCAGCAGTAGTCAAAGCAACAAAAACCCCCTTCCTTGACTTTTTTCCTTTTTCTTTGCAGCCTAAACTAAGAACTGGTCTTTTTTTGCAAACCCTCTTTGTTTATCAACCTCTTTCAGTTTAACAGTGTGAGTAAGGCGAACAAAACGCTACCAATGGAGAGACTGTCCCTCTCCGCAAAACAAACAAACAAACAAACAAAAAAAAAAAGAAAGAAAAAAAAGGGGGAAGCGAGGGAAGCAAAGACCCTTTGCTGAATGAAGACACCCTTCCATAGCTAATAGCCAGAATTGTTTTTAAATGTATGCATAGTTGTATTTTTGAAAATTTTAAAGTTTTCACAATAACAATTTTCCTTAAGTCCAAAAGCCAAATTAACACAGAAACACATATATTTGCCCTAAAAATAGAAGAAGTATATATTTTATCCTTGAACTATAGGAATGTTTCTATGTATTTGAAATTGAAATTGAACATGAAGTAACATATGCTTATGTTTTTACAGGTTATACTATCATAAAAAACAGAAAACATATATTACTAATCTAAGGGTGAGAAACAAAAAACGCCAATTTCTCAGTTCATAACCAAAAGACACTGTAAAATGAAACCCAAAAGTATGTTTGTATGATGTGTGTTCGATGGCCATCGAGTATGAATGTGTAAATGTATGCATGCGTGTGAAAATACAATAATTAATAGGTTCTGATTTATACACAAATGCACATTACCTCACACAGGCACAAACAGCCTTAGATAAAGAACAGAAAACATATCACCCTGAGTGGAATAGAATTTCATTTGCAGAAATGTTTTAGGTTAAATAAAAGTTTTCAAAAACAAACACTAAAAAACACTTTCAGGTAAAAGTCAGGAGCATACGAACCCTGAAGTCATCAAGTTATTAAGTTTGGTTCAAAATCAATCGCTTACAAGTCAATAGGATCTTTAGAGAATAGCTTCAATAAGATTTTATAAGAGTAATTTCTAATAAGAAATAATAGGAATAAGCTAAGTTGTTTAAACAAGTTTTATAATTTAGCATTGTTTGGAATTTTTCCTTCTTGCATTTTGTTCCTTGTTTACTTTTCTATATCCAAAAATGTTTGATAGTCTTTTTGATTGGTTTAATGTTCTTAATGTTAGTGCTAGGATTAAGAAGATAATTTATGTAGCAATATGCAGAATGCCTTAAAACAGCTGTGATTCCTTCACATGCCTTTATAATGCCAAACCTTGTGGCCCAAACTATTCTGACACACAATGCCTTTGCATAATCATACTTTCCATCTCAGGTATATAAAAGACTGTACATTGCCTTGAAAAAGGAGCCTCCTTGCTAACATTAATTTCACTTGTGGTATTAAAAGTAAGACTGCAATATTTCTTGTTAGATCCATTTAAGAATACATTTGCTTCTAAAATGCAGCTATAGAATTTGTTATTACTCACTCTGAACTAATGCATCAAAGCATTGATAGTTGAAGAAAAAAATAGTAATCAAAACAGACTACATGTTTAGATAGCAAGATAAATTTAATACTCTAGTTAAAGAAAACAATTATGGTAATATTTGCATTCCCTTGTATTATGTCTTGCATTAGCAAACGTCTGATCAAAGTTTTTTCCGAGTTTTTTGGTTTTTAGAAAACTAAAAAAGAAGGGGCAGATGTGGGAGCCCAAACCCAGCTTTCAGCAAAGGAAAACAAGGGCTGACAAAAACCTCGTGATCTGAAGGAGCTGGACCCTTCTCACAAGACCTGTTAAAGTTCTACCTCATGGACCAAGCCTGGCTCCAGCAGAAATCAGAAAGGACTTTTGAGATGATTGTATCAAACCATGTCTAAACCCCTGTAATCCCTCTATCCCCCATGTAATCCTACTAGAAGAAAAATTAACTCTTTGGAAATTGCAGTAAAAATTTGTGTAACTCCCCAATTAACATAGGTTGTCCCCTTCATTAACATACAGCCCCAGATGCCTTTAAAATAGTGTTCTCGTGTTCAAGAAACTATTCCAGTTTCCCCATACTGGGATCGTGTCTAGCTTTTATTTTTCAGACCACCACTCAGAAGGTCTCAGGTGACCACGTCCTCCCTTTTGAAGCGGCCTCCACTTTGAAAAATGTCAGTGGCCTTCCGAGCCACCTCATCGGGACGTAATGGGGGGCACAGAGTAGGCGTGTCGGGAAGCCTGTAAGCCCAGAGTGTCTCAGCCAGTGGAGAAACGGGCCGGGAGCAGCGCTGCGGGCAAAGGGGTTAAAAGGGGGCTGCGACCTCCACTGAGCTGAGCCACCTCACTGCCGTTTGTCCAGTGAAGTCTCCCTTTTCTTGCAATAAAAGTTTATTTTTTTCGTCGGCTCCTCCATCTCCTGGCTATTTAGGTGTTTCCCACTGGCTGCAATTTCAGACGACCACAATCCCATGGTCTCTACAGCCCCGGCTGTCCCGCACCTTCCCATCTCCAACAAGGTCTTTGCGGTCTGTTAGTAAGAGGTGGAGCAGCACAGCATTCCTTTGGCTTGTCAGAGGCTCCAGCCCACCGGGCCAGGAAGTTGTCGTCACCGCTTTCCGGGAACCTGCTGGACTGTTGGTGCTTGGCTGTGTTGCTTCTCCAGCTGCCGCCAGGGCAGTTGAAGTCTCCCCGAGAACCAGGGACTGTGACCTGGAGGCTGCTTCAAGCTGCCTGTAGAGGTCTCCTCCACATCTTGCTCCTGCTCAGGAGGCCTGGAGCAAACCCCCACAGCAGTGTGCCCATTCCCAGCCTGCCCGCCCTTTGATCCTGACCCATCAACTCCTGAGTGGCTCGCCATCCACCCCAAGACAGAGGTCGAGACCTTCCGAGTGTCACCTCCCAGAGATCTACGGATGTCGTCTCCCTGGGCTCCTGTGAGGCCCTGGATGTGGTTGCCAGCGCATTCTTCCCTCTCCCTTATGGGCCCTGTCCAATGCAGCCCCAGGGCAGCCCGGAGGAGCCCTGTCTGGGGCTGCGCTGGGCTGACCGGGGACACGGTGGGGTCACTGGGAGCAGCCTTCCAAAGCCCCAGAGCGGGAGGATGGTGCCCAGGCTCTGCTCAGGGCTGCTTTGGGCGTGGGGCTGTCTGCGCGAGTCCTGCACGGGACCCATGTGTCCTGGCTGCCACGCCAAAGGGCTGCTTCCCCAGGCGAAGGGGGCAGGGGAGTGACCCTGCGGGAGTGCCTGCACCTCTGGCAGTGACTCAGGCCCGGGGTGCCCTTTGGGTGCCCTTGGTGCCCTTTGGGTGCCCTTGGTGCCCTTTGGGCCTTGGTGGATCTGCTTGGGGCCATTTGCTGGGGCCACCCTGCACTCCCTCCCCATTCCATGCAGACACAGGCAGGTGTTGGAATCAAATCTTTTATTCCGTAACCAGAAGAAAACTGTTACGTTTTCTACGTAACAGTATCTACGGATCTACGTCTACATCTATCTCTACATCTTCCCTACATCTCTATCTACATCTTCCCCACATAAACACCCTCCCTCCCTCCCGCTGGGATAGATCCCCAAACGATCTATCCCTCCCACTGGCATAGATCCCCAAACGATCTATGCCTCAACCTGGGATAGGTCCCCAAACGACCTATCCCTCAAACTGGGATAGGTCCCCAAACGACCTATCCCTTTAACAGGCCTAAGCCAATCTTCCTGCCCCAGCCCCGGCTGCGGGAGCCTTGATCTTCATGGCAGGCCCTGGCTCAGAGCCCCTCTTCCTCTTCGCCCCCCGCCTTTCCAGCTTGGTGTCTCCACGGTCCGTGGGCACGGGGACGCTGCTGCTGCCACCATCCTGGCTGGTCCCTGCAGCCCCCGGGGAGCAAGCCAAGTGCCCCTGAGTCCCCTGCGGCAGGACCTTCCCACTCAGCAGAGCGCGGCTGGCTGGAGTCACCCCAGGCTCCCTGATGGCTTGGAGCTGGAGTGCGGCTGAGGGGCTGGCGGTGGTGTGCCTGGGCGGGGAGGTGTCCTCCTCCATGGCGACATCACTGGCCAGCGAGAGGTCGCAGCCTCGGGGGGCGTCCTCCTCCATGGAGACGTCGGTGGGCAGCGAGCCAGGTCGCAGCCGCAGCCGCGGGCGGTGTCCTCCTCCATGGAGACGTCGGTGGCCAGCGAGAGGTCGCAGCCGCGGGGGGCGTCCTCCTCCATGGAGACGTCACTGGCCAGGCTGATGTTAAGTGCCGGGGTGACGTCCACATCCATGGGGGTGCTCCTGTCTGGGGGGCTGCCACTGCCCAGGGGTGTCCCGGAGGGGTTGGCTGAGCTGGCAGGGCTGTGCCGCGCTGGTGGGACCGGGGCCACTGCTCTCCCCTGATGGTCGTAGGGCTGCAGTTGACCCTGGGGGGCACGTTGGTCTGCCCCAGCCAGCGGCTTCCCACTGCCCTGGGGCCCCCCCTGGGCAGTACTGGAGGGAACAGCAGCACCAGGGCTGCTTGCCAGTGGGGCTGGTGGAGGCAGGTTGGCTGAGCCTGTGAGAAAGAGCAAAGCCTGGAAGTCACCTCCCGAGCTGGGGCCGTCAGGCGCTGAGAGGACTGAGGAGGAGGAGGAGGGCCAGGTGCAGGGGAGGAAGGGCTGTCAATGTCCCCACCGTGCACTGCGGGGCTTTCGGGCTCAGGCTCTGTCCTCACCTTTGGTGCCGGAGCTTTGGGGGGAGCAGAAGAGCTGCACCAGCCGGGTCAGGGCTGATCTCCAGCTCACAGAGCGGCGCCACAGAGCTGACAGGGCCATGGTCAGTCACGCTCGGTGGCCGGTCGCTTCTGTTGACTGGACACAGGTCTGGATGCTCCTCTTGGAGCGTCTCCAGGGATGGAATGTTAGGCCTGCCATTGTTGTGTCCTAGAGACAGCACCAACAGCTGTCTGCCCCACCCCCAACAGCTTTGCCAGCTCTTCATGGGCAGAGGAAGGCTTAACCAAAGAGCTCGAATCACAGAACATCCTGCCTTGGAAGGGACCCACAAGGCTCGCCCAGTCCAACTCCTGGCCCTGTGCAGGACAGCACAGCCATCCCACCCTGTGCCTGAGAGCGTTGTCCAAACGCTCCTTGAGCTCTGGCAGCCTTGGGGCCGTGACCACTGCCCTGGGCAGCCTGTTCCAGTGCCCCACCACCCTCCGGGGGAAGCACCTTTTCCTAATGTCCAACCTAAGCCTCCGCTGACACAGCTCCGGCCATTCCCTCGCGTCCTGTCCCTGGTCCCACAGAGCAGAAATGGCCGCTGCCCCTTGGCAGGAAGCTGCAGCCCCCCATGAGATCTGACCTCAGTCTCCTCTTCTCCAGGCTCAACAGCCCCACTGACCTCAGACCTCAAGGCCAAGGTCCTGCACCTGGCTCAGGGCTTGGCTGGTGCCACCTGGCACAACAGCAACTTGCAAATTTTGCAACACAACAGGGAGGACCAAGAAGGCTTTGGCTAAGAGACACTGTTTACAAGGGACTGCAGTGACAGACCAAGGGGCAATGGCTTCGCGCCGGCAGAGGGCAGGCTTAGATGGCATACGGCAAAGAAAGCCTTCCCTGGGAGAGTGGTGGGGCCCTGGCACAGGTTGTCCAGAGAAGCTCTGGCTGCCCCATCCCTGGAAGTGTTCAGGGCCAGGTTGGACGCGGCTTGGAGCAAGCTGCTCTAGCGGAAGGTGTCCCTGCCCGTGGCAGAGGGGTGGTTGGAAGCAGATGAGCTTTCAGGCCCCTTCCTTCCAACACAAACCGCTCTAGGAGTCTAGGAGTCTTGAAAAACAGGAGACTTCTGCAGAAGCCAGCAGGTGAATAAAAACCTTTGCCACTTAAAGACAAAGTCTTGGTACCAAGGGGCATCACCTGATTCTGGGGACTACTCTCATGACTTCTCACCACTGGAAGCTGACATTGCTGAAAGCGATATAAATTGACCTAAAACTGACCAAACAATCCGACAAAAGCTCCCTGATGGAAGGATGCTGGAGCAAGCATATCATCCTGGAGGCAATGACAGGGCAATTTCTGCGCCTCTGCCGTAAACCTGTCAGTTCTGGCCCTGCCCTGGAGAGGTTTTTTTCGGCTCTCCATTCCGTGGGAAGACAAGCGTGGACAAGAAGAACAGGGTTCTGTCCGCTCAGGGTCAAAGGCGCTTTATAGGTCTGTGCTGTGATCTCTTGGAGTTGAGCTCCTGTCTAGAAAACGAGGGCTTTCGGGACTGCTCAGCAGCTGGCTCCTCACGTGGAATCAGATGTTCCAAGCAGGGAAGGGTATGTCCAAGAGGGGTTCTGCCCACTTGAACTTCTGAACTTGTGGAGCTCTCCTGGCGGTTCTGGGCATAGTGATTCCGTGGATGTCAATTGGCTGTTCTGGAGAAAAGCTGGGGATTAAAAGAAGGAGGGACAGAACCAGACTGAAAATGGGTGAAGGGGTTGCAGGAAGTGAGGCTGGGCAGCAAGAGCAGTGAGTGAGGGGAAAAAAGGATTTCAGGCAAGAAGGAAGAAGATCCCTGAAGAGGCTCAAGGCAGCTCTCCTCAGCTCCACGCTTCTAGTCTTACAGGCTGCCTTGCTTCCTCCTCCCGCCGTCCCGAGCTCCACTCTTAGCAATAGGAAGGTGCTCTTGCAAAGGGTGTAGTGCAGGCACGGTTGGCAGGGAGAAGCGAGAAGTCACTGGTTGCTCAGTTGTCAGTTCCCAAGAGGTGCCGTTTGCCCGGAGACAGGGGGCCCAGTCAGCAGCACAGAAGGTCTCAGGTGACCATGTCCTCCCTTTTGAAGCGGCCTCCACTTTGAAAAATGTCAGTGGCCTTCCGAGCCACCTCATCGGGACGTAATGGGGGGCACAGAGTAGGCGTGTCGGGAAGCCTGTAAGCCCAGAGTGTCTCAGCCAGTGGAGAAACGGGCAGGGAGCAGCGCTGCGGGCAAAGGGGCTAAAAGGGGGCTGCGACCTCCACTGAGCTGAGCCACCTCACTGCCGTTTGTCCAGTGAAGTCTCCCTTTTCTTGCAATAAAAGTTTATTTTTTTTCGTCGGCTCCTCCATCTCCTGGCTATTTAGGTGTTTCCCACTGGCTGCAATTTCAGACGACCACAATCCCATGGTCTCTACAGCCCCGGCTGTCCCGCACCTTCCCATCTCCAACAAGGTCTTTGCGGTCTGTTAGTAAGAGGTGGAGCAGCCCAGCATTCCTTTGGCTTGTCAGAGGCTCCAGCCCCCTGGGCCAGGAAGTTGTCGTCACCGCTTTCCGGGAACCTGCTGGACTGTTGGTGCTTGGCTGTGTTGCTTCTCCAGCTGCCGCCAGGGCAGTTGAAGTCTCCCCGAGAGCCAGGGACTGTGACCTGGAGGCTGCTTCAAGCTGCCTGTAGAGGTCTCCTCCACATCTTGCTCCTGCTCAGGAGGCCTGCAGCAAACCCCCACAGCAGTGTGCCCATTCCCAGCCTGCCCGCCCTTTGATCCTGACTCATCAACTCCTGAGTGGCTCGCCATCCACCCCAAGACAGAGGTCGAGACCTTCCGAGTGTCACCTCCCAGAGATCTACGGATGTCGTCTCCCTGGGCTCCTGTGAGGCCCTGGATGTGGTTGCCAGCGCATTCTTCCCTCTCCCTTATGGGCCCTGTCCATCGCAGCCCCAGGGCAGCCCGGAGGAGCCCTGTCTGGGGCTGCGCTGGGCTGACCGGGGACACGGTGGGGTCACTGGGAGCAGCCTTCCAAAGCCCCAGAGCGGGAGGATGGTGCCCAGGCTCTGCTCAGGGCTGCTTTGGGCGTGGGGCCGTCTGCGCGAGTCCTGCACGGGACCCATGTGTCCTGGCTGCCACGCCAAAGGGCTGCTTCCCCAGGCGAAGGGGGCAGGGGAGTGACCCTGCGGGAGTGCCTGCACCTCTGGCAGTGACTCAGGCCCGGGGTGCCCTTTGGGTGCCCATGGTGCCCTTTGGGCCTCGGTGGATCTGCTTGGGACCATTTGCTGGGGCCACCCTGCACTCCCTCCCCATTCCATGCAGACACAGGCAGGTGTTGGAATCAAATCTTTTATTCCGTAACCAGAAGAAAACTGTTACGTTTTCTACGTAACAGTATCTACGGATCTACGTCTACATCTATCTCTACATCTTCCCTACATCTCTATCTACATCTTCCCCACATAAACACCCTCCCTCCCTCCCGCTGGGATAGATCCCCAAACGATCTATCCCTCCCACTGGCATAGATCCCCAAACGATCTATGCCTCACCCTGGGATAGGTCCCCAAACGACCTATCCCTCAAACTGGGATAGGTCCCCAAACGACCTATCCCTTTAACAGGCCTAAGCCAATCTTCCTGCCCCAGCCCCGGCTGCGGGAGCCTTGATCTTGATGGCAGGCCCTGGCTCAGAGCCCCTCTTCCTCTTGGCCCCCCGCCTTTCCAGCTTGGTGTCTCCACGGTCCGTGGGCACGGGGACGCTGCTGCTGCCACCATCCTGGCTGGTCCCTGCAGCCCCCGGGGAGCAAGCCAAGTGCCCCTGAGTCCCCTGCGGCAGGACCTTCCCACTCAGCAGAGCGCGGCTGGCTGGAGTCACCCCAGGCTCCCTGATGGCTTGGAGCTGGAGTGCGGCTGAGGGGCTGGCGGTGGTGTGCCTGGGCGGGGAGGTGTCCTCCTCCATGGCGACATCACTGGCCAGCGAGAGGTCGCAGCCTCGGGGGGCGTCCTCCTCCATGGAGACGTCGCTGGCCAGCGAGAGGTCGCAGCCGCGGGCGGTGTCCTCCTCCATGGAGACGTCGGTGGCCAGCGAGAGGTCGCAGCCGCGGGGGGCGTCCTCCTCCATGGAGACGTCACTGGCCAGGCTGATGTTAAGTGCCGGGGTGACGTCCACATCCATGGGGGTGCTCCTGTCTGGGGGGCTGCCACTGCCCAGGGGTGTCCCGGAGGGGTTGGCTGAGCTGGCAGGGCTGCGCTGGCTGTGCCGCGCTGGTGGGACCGGGGCCACTGCTCTCCCCTGATGGTCGTAGGGCTGCAGTTGACCCTGGGGGGCACGTTGGTCTGCCCCAGCCAGCGGCTTCCCACTGCCCTGGGGCCCCCCCTGGGCAGTACTGGATGGAACAGCAGCACCAGGGCTGCTTGCCAGTGGGGCTGGTGGAGGCAGGTTGGCTGAGCCTGTGAGAAAGAGCAAAGCCTGGAAGTCACATCCCGAGCTGGGGCCGTCAGGCGCTTGGAGGACTGAGGAGGAGGAGGAGGAGGGCGAGGTGCAGGGGAGGAAGGGCTGTGAATGTCCCCACCGTGCACTGCGGGGCTTTCGGGGTCAGGCTCTGTCCTCACCTTTGGTGCCGGAGCTTTGGGGGGAGCGGAAGAGCTGCACGAGCCGGGTCAGGGCTGATCTCCAGCTCACAGAGCGGCGCCACAGAGCTGACAGGGCCATGGTCCGTCACGCTCGGTGGCCGGTCGCCTCTGTTGACTGGACACAGGTCTGGATGCTCCTCTTGGAGCGTCTCCAGGGAGGGAATGTTAGGCCTGCCATTGTTGTGTCCTAGAGACAGCACCAACAGCTGTCTGCCCCACCCCCAACAGCTTTGCCAGCTCTTCATGGGCAGAGGAAGGCTTAACCAAAGAGCTCGAATCACAGAACATCCTGCCTTGGAAGGGACCCACAAGGGTCGCCCAGTCCAACTCCTGGCCCTGTGCAGGACAGCACAGCCATCCCACCCTGTGCCTGAGAGCGTTGTCCAAACGCTCCTTGAGCTCTGGCAGCCTTGGGGCCGTGACCACTGCCCTGGGCAGCCTGTTCCAGTGCCCCACCACCCTCCGGGGGAAGCACCTTTTCCTAATGTCCAACCTAAGCCTCCGCTGACACAGCTCCGGCCATTCCCT